TTAAAAGCATGTTAGGACTCTGGAAAAAATCACTTAAAGGAGGAAAGGTCAGAGATTCATCAAGTGATGAATATAATTCATGGAATGGATGGGAGTCATTGTTTGTTGCTCCCTCAAGGGTTTAGAGCCAGCAGGTGTGAAATAAAGCTAATCAGGTACACATTAATAATTAACAAAAGGAGACAGTTCTTCACCTGACAAGGTGTAGAAGTCCTTGTTCCTGGATGATCTACATGTTAAAGTTATGTATGAGTTAAAAGGGAGTCTGGATAAGTTCACATATAAAAATCTGTTGGTAACTAAGGGTGCAGAACTGACATTCAGCCTAGGGAACTCCTGATCAAAATATCAAGTCCTGGGGAAATAAGATCTTTACTTGGCCTTTGGTTCATACTAAGAACCCACTTTCAGATACAAGATACAGGACTAGAAGTGGTATTGGTTTGATCTGCAGAGGCTGCTTTTGTCTTCATATATTCTCTATTTTTATTCTGGCTCAAGTCTTTTAATGGATTTTATCCAGCTGACAAGCCCTTACTTACTTACAGGCACATGCTCAGGCACAAGATGGGATTCTGGGCTTGTCCTGGGCAGGGCCAGGAGAGGGACTTGAAGATCCTTGGGAAGTTCCTTCCACATCAGGATATTCTGTGCTTATATGCACTTCCCTTCTTGGCTAGGTTGTTGGGTTCTTTGGGGGCTTTTGCAGAGGGGTGAGATCAAAGGAAACATCTCCTGATGTTTGAGCTTTTTGAATTACTATATTAAATATATCACGTTGCTTGTTAGATGACAGCTTAGGACTTAGTGTCTGCATGATGTAGTTTACATGGTCTAGTTAGTCCTGCAGGAACAACTTCCTGAAACAATACTACAGAAATTCAGAGGGCAGTAACATATGTAGACCTCACAATAGGTGAGCTAAGGAAATTTTTAATTTATCTAAGTAGTTTTTTTGCAGAGTCATAATGTTACTATTCAGACCCATTTTAACTACGATTTTAGTATCTCTCTGTTCCACTTCTCATTACCATCATATGAATAAGATTTTAAATCTACCCTGAAACTGTTTCCATGAGACTATATTCTTTACAGAATAAGCCACAGTGCTGGAAATAGGGAGGTTTTTGAATTCTCATTTCAGCTTTGAGACTGATTCACATGACTTTGAACAAATCATGTAAGTATCTGTGCTGTCTCTAAGTTGAAGATAACAGCAGCCTTATAGGAATGCTTTTAAAGTAAACTATGTAAAATTCTATGAAGATTTAATTGTGATTTACTAGTATTTTTGAAATACTGTTTTAGGGATGGAAAAGCATGCTAATGAACCTTGAGTGCATAGAACAAGTTATGTTTTATGGCTGGCTCAAAGTGGTCTGTCATATGAATCAGAATGTGTGGGATGCAAGTGGAGTCTATGTGCAGATGGGGTTTATTCGTTCTCTGTATTTCTCATGGTGCTCATGAGGAACAAATATCTGCCTTCATCTAGTTCAGTGAGAAAGCCTGTTCTAGGACTTCTGCAGAACTCCATATGCTAACATTGTTTATTTTATACACATAACAATTGTATCTGGAAGTCTACCAAGGTGTGCCAGGCCCCCTCTAACCTACCAGCCTGACAGGTGATGCTGTGGTGCAGCCTGGGTTGTACTTCCCCTAAATGTGACTGTGAGAATGCTCTGAGTTACTTCTCTGCAGAAACTGCAGCACATCCAAGAGGGAAGTTCTGTGCCCAGGTATTCATTTGAGATGTTGCCAAGTTCAGTGAAATCTGGGATCTGAGAAGCTCTGTATTTTTACAGATCAGACGTACACTGAAAAGATATAAATAGCAGATGATCCAAACAGTTCCTGCCCTAAAGAGCTTCTGGGTGTTGCAAGTTGAATGGAAATAAGGCATTGCTGTAAGATAGGCAAAAGCTATTTCCTTTTATTACATGGCTCTCACAGACTTTTTTCCTTAGAGATATTTTCCGTGGAAGCCTAAACTCTAAGAACTTGTGTAGTAAAATGGGGATTTTTTCACTTTCTAGTAATGAAGTCACACATATTTATAGCATTATCATGTAAGAATCCCAAGTAACCATTACTAATTAGAAAGAGGGGGAAGATACTCCTCATTTTATTGAGGAAATGGAGCCGTGATGAATTAAAGGGACTTTCCCTGACTCACAAGAAACTTAATGTGGAGCTAGAAATTGAGCCCAGACCTCCTGAAATTCAGTTCACTGTTTCAGTCATATGACCATCCTTTTCCAAGTATCAAATATGTACACAAGGCTCTCCAGTTTAGTCTTCACATTAGTTTCCAATGAAACTTTGCCCTTTCACTCATTTCACCAAAAAGGCAAACATTTGCCCATTTTTCTCAATAGTAAGTAGAAACTGCTCTCTATAGAGATGACAATTTCCTCTCCATTCACATGCTTCTCATCCTCATATTAAAGCCAGCCTGTGTCAGCAACGGCCTGTTTAAATTAGAAACCAAATAATATTGCAGGGATGCCTTGGGCTGTCTTGTGGAGAGGGTTCTTTGCAACCCTTGCCAGTTACTACTTGGTGGTCCTGCCAATCCTTGCTAAGTTTCAAAACAGAAGTTGCTCAAGCTGGAGCAGCGCTGCTTGCCCGGCATACGCAGCTGGACAGCTGGAGAGCCGGGACCCAGTGAGGCCTGGTGCTCAACCAGGCACAGTTCACCAGACCTTGTAAAGGGACAGGGGAGTGGCACTGTCCTAATTGTTAACATTCCTCCTCTGCAAGACTTCTCCCGATACTCATTTAATAAGCCTAGGCTCATGAAGTCTAAACAATTTAGGCAATCAAGTGGTAGCTGATGTGTATGTGGAGATAGAGATGCAGCCAGACTAAGCGAAGAGTGAAATGCCTAATTTCTGACTTTGCCAAGCTTTATCTGGCAGTTGCAGATGAAGTAATAGCTCAGGCAGCTGTGCCCAAGAACAGAATTTATGCTGGGAGTACCTCAGGAGCTGTACTTCAGGCCAGGTTTGCAAGCCACAGCTCCTACTTGAGTGCGCACGGCCCGTCTGCCAGCGTGGTTCTTCTCACACAGTGAGTAATACTGATAAGCTCCAGCCTGAAAGCTCCTGCCAGTGGCAACAAAAATTAGGGATGTGGTATTGCTGTGGTCTCAGGGAGACAAAAAGGCAGATTCAGCAGAACTGACTGAAACATGCAGGTATTCCTAAGTCACAGCAACAGTTGTTTGTAAATAAGTACGCTGTCATATGTAGAAAGGAGGGAGCATGTAGAGATGCTGTGTGTGTAGGTTTGTTATTTTCTGTGCAGCTGTTGCTGAGTATTTTAGCATTAAAAAATGGGGAAAAGCATTATTGCCTTCATTAGCATTTCATTCAGAATTATTTTCAGCTCATAGTGGAGCAGGGAGATATGGTAACTAGATGTTAAACTTTCATTGATGGGATGAAGAGATCTGAGGTTCAAACTGGAAATGGGACTTGAGTGAACATGGGACAGGGAGGAAAAATGAATTTTCATGAACCTGGGAAATGGTTTTCGTTAAAAAGAAAGAGCACCACAACGCACAAAGTTTCTATAGTTTCTCAAGAAAAGTAAAAGAAACATTGTTTCAGCTCATCTTTAAAATACACAAAGGAAAGGCAGTGCCAAAAAGGAGAGTATTTTTACTGATTGTACTTTCAGTGTTCTCTTGTTAATGGTCTTTTTCTCATAAGAGGTCGTTTACCGTGTTGGATTCAAAGAGATCCACTCTGCATAGTTTTAGAATAACTTCATTAATGTTTTTTTGATAACTTCTGCTTATCAGCCTAAGGCTTATTGGCCATAACTGCATTGTGAGCTGAGTAAATTGGTTGTTAGTGCATTTGCAAACAGTTCAGCCTGATTACATTCATCTAAGCACCAATTTTACAGCTGTGTCAGTGGGGCCATTAGAGGACTTGAGCAAGCAAGCAGGCAGGCACCCTGCACATACCTCTCTCAGCATCGTGATTTACTGCCTCTATCTGCTGCCTTTTACAGCTGTGTGCTGGCTAGTGTCCCTGTCTTGCTGCTTAGCTTTTTTCAGTCCTGTAATGCTACATCCTTACTGTGGAATCTGAATCTGACTTTGCCACTGGAAAACGGCCTGTGGCTTTTCTAAAGTTCTTTTTCCATCTTCCTTGTGCTTAGAAAACAAACTGGTAGGGGTCATAATAGGTGGACACAAATCCTTTCCTTTTAACCCACTTATTTTTGACTACTCTGTGTTCTTTGACCATTTCCCAAGGTTTCTCTTGTGTTTCGATGTGACTTAGCCTGATGTCTGAAAGCTTTACTGTTAATTATTATTTTTGACAGTTACGACATTGATATTCCACCCTCCCATAGTATCCTCTGACCAGCAGGTATTAGAATGCACAAAGATATGCCTAAAATGTCACAAAGGAAAGGAATGCACATCACATATAGTTACGAATTAGTTCAGATAAGTAGAGTACAGTATCTCAAGGAGACACAACAAGCATCACTGACTTGAATATCTGCATGAGAAACAGTTTTGGAGTAATTTCTGATTATGGAGTCAGTACATTAAAACAATATGAAGTAATAACTTGCAATTTTTTGCTAAGCTGAGATTCACATGTAGATGGATTAATCTAATTAAATCAACAAAACATTGGCTGTTGGGATGGAAGGATTTGAAGTGCACAAGGAAGGTGGGAGGAGGACACCTACAAGAGCTAAGTGTCTAAACAAGGATACTCTGAAAAGCATTTGGCTATGGTGGTCTTCTGGAGGCTGAGTAGTTGCTTCTTTTTTGCTTCAGAATAAAAAGGGAAAAGGGGCCATGTGGCATCCTGGTTGATAGCAGCTTATGTTATTTGACTTGTAAGAGATAATAGTTTCAGAACTCTGACATTGTTTCCTTTGTTTTCTCACTAATTAATATGTAAGCAGAATAAAAGTGTCATCCTTAACTGTGGCTGAAGGTTCATTTGTTAATATTTTTTCAGGTGGAACTCGCAGAAATTTGCACGAAGAGTGAACGTTACATCGGCACAGAAGGTGGAGGGATGGACCAGTCAATCTCTTTTCTGGCAGAAGAAGGAACTGTATGTCTACCTTTGTAATCTAAACTAACAATGTAATATTAATTTATGTAAGCAAAATAAACCTTCATTAGTGTCATGAAGAAAGACAAGACTAGAAACTGGAATACCCTAATAAGCAGTATAAGCACCATTGGTATACAATGAATCAGGAATTAAACTCAAAAACTTGGGTACAATCGAGTACGACAAGTTTGAATTAATATGATGAGGAAAATCAGAAATGGCAAGGAGGAAGGAAAAGATGTGGGGAAAGATCTACTCTAGAAGGGCACCAGGTTCCACTATTTGGCTAATTCATGCTGAACTTAGAATGTTTCCCATATAATGAAATCTGAATGGTCGGCATGCCTTGTATTCAGTGCAAATGGGATAATTATTACAAAAATGCTTTCTTGAAACTTCTTATAACCAAACAGTTCTAGGAAGTTTTGCCAGGTTCAGTTACAAAGACAATGGAGACTTTTTTTTCACCAGTTTTGCTAATTCCAGACAATTCTGTGGCTGGATTTTGAAGCAGAAGGCATTCAGCAGTCTTAAATGTGGTGACAGAAGGTGAACTAGCTGTGATAAACAGGACCTGCCAAGTTATGCATGAGTGCTTGCAGTGGAATTTACAGTGAGGTTCATCTGCTGTCCCAGAAGGTGCACATGACTGCAACTGTTCAAACCTCAGACCTGTCAGAATACTTTTATTGGAATTAATGTAGTGTTTCATTACATTCTTTACTTTCCTTATGATTGTGGCATTATATCTCTACAGCTTTTGTTCCTTAATGACATGTCTTGGATGGGCTTACACAGAAAAAAACCTATTTCCTAGAATTACACCAAACATTTAATGCCATCATGAGACACATGTATTTTCAATTTCACATCACCTGTACCTACTCTACACCTTTCCTTCATGTTTTTACTGTTAGTGCTAAAAACACAGGACATGAATAATGAAAGAAGGAAGCAGCATATTATCCTGCCATACACAGAGATGATTATGTAAGTGGAAGCTTTTCTGATATATAGCAGTGGCGACCAAAAAGACAAAGAAAACGTTAGAACGGATGAGAAAAGAATTGTGAACAAACCAGAAAAATATTCTTGCTTCAGTGTACTTGCAGCTGAATGCAGCTTTAGCCTCCCATCTTAAAAAACCAAGAAAAGTACAGTAAAGGACACTGAGGATTATCAAAGTTGTTTTTTTAAACATGAGCATTGACTGAGCAATTAAAAACTTTTCAGCTTGGAAAAGAAGAAGCTTTGAGGGTGATACTTTGTAAATTCCTTAAACAAGTAAAGAGAAGGTAAATGGAGGATTCAATGTTTTTCATCACTGAAGAACTAATAGAAACACAGTGACATTAGCAAGCAGCTTGTAAGAAACAAACAAGGAAGTTAGGGTTTTTTTCCAAAACATTCATGTTAAATTGAGAAATACCATACATTGTGGAAGGCAAAAGTTTTAAAAGGATTCAGTAAAGACCTTTGTGGATACACTAAGAGAGTATTAAACTATATGCAGCTATTTAACATAATACTCAGATATTTCTTCCAGTGTAAGTATAACCATTGTAATCTTTGCTTATGGGAATCTGGAAAAACATGTCCCTAGAAAAGATTGCTTTGTATATGTTCTATTTTTATATTCCCCCTAAGTAGCCATTTATGGCTACTGTCAGAATCAGGACACTAGACCAGCTTAGTGGCACATTCTGCTCTAATGTAGCAGATCTTAAAGGGTATATTTAAATGTAAGCAAGTCTGTCTGTCTTGATAGTAATTCTGTGATGGGGTCCAGAATCTCAATGGCAGGGAGTAACACATATGCTGTACATAATGTACAAGCAGATTTGTCATTGTTTATTTAGCACTCTAGCTGCTCAAGGGACTCTCTGGGAGTGAACAATGCCAAAACCAGTAAGATGTCCCTGCTTGCACAGTTACAGTCTATTCTAAGCCAAAACAGGGCACATGATTTACAACTTAACCCAGTGAAAAACCAGATGTGAATTTAATCTCTTGATTACATTACATCCTGAATTATTTAATTAATGGATGCCTAACTTATTCCATGAAAAGGTCACAAATGTTGGGAACATCTTACACAGCTTGTGTAAGCATGTGTGAGGCAAGGCAGTCTCTTATGTCAGAAAGGAAGAAACAGTAACTACATTCTTACATATAGTTTTATTTAGTTGCTTGGTTTGATTGTCTGTATGTACCATGATCCTAAAATGCTGGTACCACATTGTACCTCTGTACTAATGTCACTGTGGTGCAAAATGAGAAGACTGAGGGGGAGATGGACATTGATGAAGGGGCAGGGAATGCAAAGACCCTTATTTCTAGTGGCATGCACATTAGCTTCAGCCAGGCCTGGTACTTCTCTGCAGATCAAAGTGAAACTGTTGTCTTAAACAGGCAAGAAAAATAGGTTGGGTGGGGTTCTGTAAAATGCTGAAAAAACCCAAAGACTTAATGGAAACATTTTAAAATCCAGCTACAGGGAAGGGTTTGAAATGTATGTGTAACTTGACCAATGAGGTTAAATCTCTTTTCTGGCTGTTTCATGTCAGTTTTCTTTCCTCAACTGTGCCTGGATTTTCAAGAGAAAAAACATGCAAATTTGCATTTGATTTATAGAACTAAGTGCACTGTTAGCCAGTAGTAAATTAAAACTAACCATTCATTTTTCTTTCAATAGGCCAAGTTGATAGAGTTCAGTCCACTGAGGGCAACTGATGTTAGACTTCCAAGTGGAGCAACGTTTGTTATTGCTAACAGTTGTGTTGAAATGAATAAAGCAGCAACTTCTCATTACAATATTAGGGTAATGGAGTGTCGGCTGGCTACAAAGGTAACACATGGCTTATGTCAAACTCTAATGAAACCTTCATCTAAATATGTGCTTTTTTCCAATTCTGACCAGTTGTGTCTTTCACACCTGGCTAGGTGCTACTCTTAGTATAATTTTTCTTTCCAGAACCAGACACTTCCATATGCAGGAGCAGAACTCCTGCTGAGCTTAATGGAAGTGCAAGGATTGTGTCCTTATATAGAAAATTATGTGATTTAGTTGTATTAAATTCATTTTTATTATATTTCAGTGGAGGAAATAAGGCTCTTTTTCAGAAAAAAAAATATTCCCAGTTAATAAGATAGACTGGTTCTAATTAAAGGTAATTAATGACAAATAATGGAAAGCAACCAGTATGGTCATGTGTTTATATGTTTATATGTATATATGGCAATAGATGTGTATTTTCTAGGATTTAGAGAGCATCCAAGCTAATAGTTGAAGGCCTGGAAGTAATATTAGAAATGCTGAATAGCAGCATGTATCTCAGTGTAAAGTTTAAAAACAGGCTTGAATGAAACCCCAACATTTAGGATGTACTGCCAGTTTACAGCTTGAAATGATCTCTAAAATGTGTGGAAATTGAACAGGGGAAATCTGCTTTAATTCTGGATTTTGTATGTTTAGGAGTATGTAGATATAGGGTTTGATTTGAGTTCTTCATGGGAAGACGGTACATTTTTCTTTGATAAGAGTAAATGAGGAGTAAGCATAAAGATTCACTGCAGTTGTACCCAATACAGGGTGGGAAAGAACAGAATGTGGGTCACAAAGTCTAGAAGAAAGCTTTGAAAAATGCAGTGTGGAACTCCTTGCCACAGAACATTAGACCAATATCTGACCATTATTCAAAAGTACTTTGAACATCTGTTGGCATCATGATTCCATTAAAAATTTTTTTTTTACAAGTTTTAGTTAGTGCTAAAAAAACAGTTGAAGATCTGATCAGACATTGACAAAATGTATTATAAAATAATGTGCTGAGATATTTTCTGAGGAGGGAAGCTAGACTTCAGATGACTTTTTAAATGGGCTTTAAACTCAAGTATCAAAGGAATAGTTGCATTTCAGTTGTATCTAAGACATGGTAAAAGAAATAGCACCAATGACCATGGTTAAAGATGTTGTCACTGAAGTTAATAAGGTTTTTAAGCCATTAAGAAAATGAAGATAAGGACCTGTCTATTTTTAAGTTCTGTTATAACAGATAAATCTCTAATTTGGGATTGCTAATGGACAAAATATACGTTTTTAAGAGGAGCTTATTTCTTTTGTAAATTCTTTTTTTTTTTGCATAAGCAATAGAGAGCCTTCACAGATAATCTATTCTAAAAGGCACTGTACAATGAGTGCATTAAGCTGTGTGAGCTTTTGAAGTTATTGTTCCATATACCAGACTTTGTGAATTGAATCACAGTTTTCTAAATGGCTTTAAATTATTAGTCCTGTACAGTATACTGAAGAGGTAGTAAGGAAACATCTTTTCTTTTACATTCCTGTTAGCTATGATGCAATCTCTAAAAATGTACTTTTAGCAGATGCTCAATTGTAAGGAGACTAACAACATACACCTGTCTGTTTTTAAACATATGCTACCCAGATGGAAAGCTGCACACACTATAAAAATACATTGAGCCAGGAAAAGTCTGTCTTTAGGGAAGAGGTCACAGTGGGGTGAAGGAGGACAGGTATGTAAGTGGAAACAGCGAAGTCTTTTAAGCACCATTAAGCTAATGGAACTATGAACTAACGTGCTGGGCCTTGCAATCATGCTTTAAAAGAAATTCTCATTCTAAGTGCCTTAGGATAGGTTCTTTCCCCCTTTTCTGCTTTAGGTCATTCTAGAATTTCATCCTGCTTTACTGCATAGGTAAAGATGCCAACAGGACATATCCCTCCTAGCATTAGTGTAGAACACTTTGCTATCAGTCTGTTCTACAGCAAGTTCTTGATCATTCTGGCAAATTATCTTTCTTAGATGCTGTTTCTTTCCCTTCCCTCTAGAGGATCGTTCTTTTGCCTTTCTCTTCCCCTTTCTCAGTTCTTGTAGCAGGCCCTGAGTGCTCTCCTGCACTCTGTCACAGTGAGTTTCCAGTTTAAAGACGTTTCCTGTCCCTCCCCGGCTGGCGAGAGCAGGGCTGGGACGCCGCGCTCCCCCTGCTTCGCCCTCAGCGTGGTGTGGGGCCAGCAGTGTCTGCACAGCCACCTTCAGCTCCTGGGCACAGTGCTCAGGTGCTGTTATAGAAATCTTATGTCTAAGGAAGTGATGCTGCTATAAAAGTATTCCTGGAATTACTCCTAGTCAGACTTTCTTGTATTTATATTTGTCCCATCATTTACCAAGTATGTTTTCCTCTCAGTTACTTAGAGTTCTCCAGTGTGCCTATGTTGAACAATAAAGAACAACAAAGCCCAAATATTCTACATCCAGGCAGTTAAGAGCTGCTTGATGTCCGTATCTTTAATCAGTCCAGTCAGAGAACATCAAGAAAATATCCAGCTGTGGGAGAAATATTTGGATTAGTTTTTGTACATTAAAGAGATGGCATTTTTTTCCCATTTCTGTTCCATGTCCATTACAATTCATGCTGCTGCAGCTAGACTGTTTTCAAAAACCATTTCTGTTTGCCCATAATACTTTTCCCAGTGCTGTTAGAATCAAAACTTTGCTATAAGCAGGACAGACTTTTCCAGCAAAGCTGTGCCCGCTGGCCCAACGGGGTCAGTTTCCTTTTGGAACATTTGACCTGTAAAACCCCACTGTAGCTGGCTTGCCTGAAATACAGCATCTCCCTTGAAGAAATGGGAACAGATGTGACAATGCATGTGGCATATTTCTGCAGGGGATTATTTATTAGAAAAGGAAGTACAAAAAATTTTATAGCCTTATAGAATACTATTGTTTGTAAATTCTGTTTAACTCCTTGTAATAAAGTCCACGGGATTCTGAATATTGGGATTAAAGCATCAGGAAAATAATTTCCATTCATTTAGCACTTTGAAGAAGATGCATATGCACTAACATATATTTAAGTAAAATGAAGCAGTAATTTTTATTCTAACTTAACAGTAAGTAAGCTAAAATACAAATTACATAAAGACTGTAGAGTTCTAGGTATTCAGAGCCTTTAAAAAGGAGGCCAGAAGTGACTTAACCAGTCTTTTACAGAAAAAATTGTCTCACGCTGATTTCTGCATTAGGCACTAAACAGTTCTGTTTCTTTCTCTACCACTGAACTTGTAAAATTGTGTTTTAATGGAAACAAAGTTATATGATTAGGATTTTGTTTGTTTTGCTCTGCTGAGCCTCACATAAATCTCAGCAAGTCACTAGATGGCACCAAAAGTAGTTAATTTTTAGATACTGTAATAAAGCAAAACTGGAAGAGCCCCTGCAAAAAAAGCACTGTTGGGGGACAGTAAGAATCTACACCAGATAGCTGGGCAGCAGATCTGCTTCAATGTCATGCTGTAACTTTGCAGAAAGTAAATCAAATATTTTTCAGATATGTATGTAAATCCTACGACTTTTTTAACCCAGAAAATTAAATGGCTTAGCTGAATCAAGACAAATGATTTCAAACCAATCTCAGTCCAAACCCGTGCTTATTGAAAAGAATAAAACACGCTGGGTGAAATCCTGGCCTTGTTGATAAAAGGTTTGAATGCTGATTTGTATAGAAAAAGGATTTCATTCCCTGCCTTTTCTGTACTGGTTTAAACTCTTTCCTGACATACAGCTTGATCTGATCTAGAAGTTTTAAACTCAATTTAAATGGTGCAGCACTGGACATACACCATGTGCCTATGAACACAGTAAAATAACAATGCTGTGTACCTGCTAATCTTGGTTTTACTTTGTAATCTGTTGAAATTGCAGGTGCTATGTCAATGACCACTGACTATTCTTCTATAATTCATATCATCAAAATATTTCACCTTATGAGGAAAGCTGCTTTACCATTTTCATTAGACACATGGAAGCATCGACACATATTTCAGCCTTCCAGAGAAAAGCCTGTTGGACATTCTGTCTTTCAGGATTCTGGTGTGTTGTAGTAACGACTGTCAACTTCCAAAACATCACAAAGATACACAAAGCATGGCATCATTGCCAGGAGTGGGGAAAGCAGATCCATCTATAATTAATGAATATCACAGCAACCATGTAGGAATGGAACATATTCAGTCCTACATTGTACCATTCCTGTAATGGCTCAAAAATTCCTTTAAATTGGATGTTTAAGAAGGTACTTAAATTTAACTTAAAACTCCAGAGATTGAGAAAGGTTATGGTTATTCTCCCCACAAATCTTATGACCACTTTCATATTTTTAAGGCTATTATGAGAAAAGGTTGTAATGACAATCTCAAAAGTTCATCAGAAAATTCCAGGAGCGTATTGGAAATGTCAAACTAAAATGTTAGAGCAAATACTAATAGTATGGAAATAAACTTTTTAAGGACTTCTAGTGATATAACATCATAGCATTTGTATAAACAGTTGTCCAGATGGGATTTTAAAAGGTTAGTAAGTGCTTGAAGTAACAAAGTCCATGGAAGAGGATAAATCACTGATGTGATGTCACACAAATAATGCCAGTAGGGCTTTACAGACAGTATCTGATTTGTGGGAAGAATACCTGTCATTCACAGACCTTTAATATTAAATATATGTATTGACTACTCTGTACTGATAGTAAGTAGGTTCTGATGGTTCTCAATTAAGAAGTGAAAACAGAAAATGGGCCTTAAAGATATTTATGGACAACTAAAAGTTTTAAACAGGAAAGCACGATGTTTTTCTCTTTTCTTTGTTTTTTTTTTTTTTTTTAATTTTAGCTTCTCTCAAAGTCAAAAGGCTTGGAGTGGAGAAAAATGTTGAGACTCCATGATGTGCAAACCAAGCTAGGAGTTAGCCTAGAGGAAATGCTGACCATTGTGGAGGAGGTATTACATCCTGAGCCTTACAGCGCAGAGGAAATTTGTAAATGCCTGGGAATTAGCCTGGAGGAACTCCACTCTCAGATCCTTAGTCAAAACATGCAAGATGGTAAGCATATATGAAATGGTGGGGTTTACTGCACAATGTTTGTATTATATAAAAGTTTTATGCATTAATAAGTAGTTCGAGTGGAAGTCTTGCCAGAATACTTGGCTGGAATCTTGGTTGGGAAGTGAAAGAATTGATACCATTTTTTACTGATATTTTCATTCTAACTTCTAACTTAAAATAGAGCAAACTTTGATTTTGATTGAACTGTTCACAAAGTGATGAAAAAAGCAGATCATTTAACTGGTGTTCAAGGCCAGCATGGGTAGGCTTGTGCTTCTGTTCTTAACTGATAAATACATGATCACTTCCTAAAACAGTCACTGGGCAGCAAGTCTCAATCTTTCCTGAGAAAGTTTCTGTCACTATTACTATTTCTTTTTCTTCCAGGAAGATTTGGTGGAGATGAACAATTTACTATCTAAAGTGTTTCCCATGTGTTATTGTTTAGGATTATACCACGCAGTCATGAGCAGTGTCATACATTAAATGTATCCTGGATTCATACAGTAGGGTTGCTAATAATACCAATAATAGAGAATTTATGAAATATTTGTTGATTTTCATAACAGGTTTCCAATTGAGATCATAATCTTTCTGTAAGAACTATACAGAATCCTTCTTCCTTGTTTCCATTCTGTAGCATTAATACCTGTATTCTTTTGGAGTCAAATTACATCCTTATCAGTCCTTCCCAAGACTGCTTTCAGGAATATGTACATTGGATGTATATAGATCTGTAAAATACCTATCTATACTGACACTTGCTTAAATAATCCGTTCATCTGGAGTGATTGTAAATTTTATATATTAACCGAGGACCAGGTCCTGAATCTTCAACCTCTTTGGCACCCCAGTGGTATCAGACAGCATGAGACTATCTTATTGTCTAATTACACTGCCAGAAGACACCAGGATGGAATAAGATATCTTAAGCCAGCTCTTTATCTCCATAGAAAGAGTTTGGATAACTTTGTGCTGTCTGTTCATGAGGAATATATGAACCATGTACCTGCACTCTGCAGCATTTGCCTGGGAAACTGCAAGGTTGTAAATCTTACACTGTCCTTGCACTCTCCCCTTTATGAAGCAATGCAAGACTATTCACTTACAGATGTTTATACTCCTTATACCTGGTTTATAAAACAAAATTCTACAGTTCTACAAAATTGAGTTGCTTATACAAATTTTCTTGATTTTTTTTCAAAAAACAGAGTCTAGATGAAAAATTTAGACATAAAAGCCATAGAAGAAACTCAAAGGAAATTTTATACTGTAGCTCTGAATACCATTTGCAGATGTTTGCTGAACAGAATCTCTTAAACTTGCATGACCATGATTTCATTTGATAAGACCAGTTAAAAAGGATTATGCTGAAAGTGTTTTTGCATGCACAATATAAAATTAAATAACAGATTTCTGTAAAACATGCAGAAGAAACAAGACAGACCTAGAAAGAATCTAAATCTGCTGTGTTTGTTACACACTGTACAGATTACACATTATGTTGGCTTTGGAACACCAGAGGCTGTTTGAAGAAAACATTTTTCTTACTTCCTGTCCACTTTCCCACTCTATTTTAATGACAATGCCTGGCTTCTTCATGTGAGAGAGAAAGCATATTGTCAAATAAGTAACCTCTTCAGAGGATTTCAGAGTGTCATTGAATTTCTTTTTTCAACATGAAGAACAAACCATAACATTTAGGGGATCTTTTCATGCCCAGGGATTGTTACAAGTACTGTTTTGTATTGGCATTATGTCTCATGTTTAAGGATATAAAAGTGCTCTGTACATACTAACTTAGCCTTAAGTCCCGCTTCCCTTCCTCTACTCCTCCAGTGACAGTACTGTATACTTACATACAGTTTTATCACTATGTAAGGGTGACCAGATAAAAACTCCACATCTCAAAGGAACATTCTATGGACTGGCTTTGGTCAAGTCCCAGGCCAGGTCTGGAAGCCCACAGCAACTCTGCATCTCTTTTACAGCAAGTATTCAAGGATTTCTACAGTTCCCCACTGTACAGCCCATTCGTTCCCCACGTTTGGAGAAGTACAGATGGTGTATAAAGCCTCTCTAAACTTCTTGCAGTTGTTCTTTGGTCAACTCAAAATCCTGAGTTTAAAGCTCCCTTGCAAATGTTTACACATGGATTGCACTTGTGGCTTCTGAACATCTCTAGAAAAATAATATTTATTACTTTCTAAGGTGCACTGTGCCATAATTTTGGCTTGGACTCGACTGGTTTACAGAACACATAGTGTGTGGTGATTGTGGGACATTAAGTATTTATAAGCTTCGCCACAAAAGGATATTCTCCTGTAAAACACTGTATTCCTTTAACCATGAAATGTTTTTTCTTCTTAAATGAGGTATTTTTTAAACCCATTTTTCCTTTTCATATTAAAAAAAAAATTAATCTAATTCTGACATTTAAACCAGAGAATGAAAACACCATGGGAGGAGTAGGCATCCATTTGCTGTGTGGATTTGATTGTTTAACTCTTATTTGTCCCCTGGAAAGACAATTCTAAATCTGTGCTGTAAATTCCACTGGTGCTTGAACAGCCATTCCTGGGCATTGATGGTGACCTGAGTGCAGGAACAGTTTCACACTCCCTGCACTGATGGGTGTAGGTGAGGGGGTCTCGAGTGTTCTCTCAGGCAGCTCGGGGCACAAAAAGCTCTCTCTGTGCATCAGATGTCCTGCATCACCAGAAGTTACACCTCCAAACTGACGGACTTCAGAGCACTTTCCAGTTTAAGGGTCCAGGTGCCTAGTTCAGCCTCACCCTGATCCATGTCATGGAGAAATTTTGGACATACTACAGAAACAGAGATGTGGCTGCTTCAGGCAGATCCCCTACCTAGAGGATGGAGCTTTTGGGGTGTGCCACAGGTTAGGCACAGGAACTGAATAGTCCAGGTTAGTTGCAAAAGCCTTGTAAAGCCATCATTCCTCTGGAGGAAAAATCACTTTAAACCAGTAGTTATCATAATCTCAAAACAGGTGTCTGCTAAATGTGTCACCGAATCCAGCAATGACTTGCCCCTGGTTTATTTTCAGAAAGCTGGATTGCAAACAGTTACTTGAGCAGTCCCAGGAGAGTAACTGTTCCCCACTTCAAGTAGGGGGTTCACAATCTGGCTCAAATTAAAGCCATCTGGCAGCATTTTCTTATATACATTATGAGCCAGAAACCTTCACCCTCATCATGTTCAATCAGCAGGATGCCTAACAGAGAAGGGTACAATTCCACGTGAGTAATGGTGCTAGAAACTGTCCCCTACACAACTGCGTGTCCGTGAGTTTTTCCGGTTGTAAATCTCTGACAGTCCCATCAGCCATGTGTAGCTCATTAATCTCCAGTGAAATGTATCTTTAGAAGCTGCCAAAGCAACTAGAAAAAAACATATAGCCTGGAGAGGTTGGTCTTTAGCTAAAGGTCAGATAGAATTGTACAGGAAGCCTCTAAAGAAAGGAATCTGCTGAAGTTGAAGTTGTAACAAATAATATGAGTTGCTGAGAAGCCACAACATTTACTTATACAATAAAAAAAAAATTCCTTTAAATGAACTGGACAGGTTTGCACAATTTTTGTAAAGCTAAAATTATAAATATGACCATACAGTTGAAAATCCACAGTAAACATTTCTGTTATATTTAGTTAACCCACAATTATTTGGGTCTAATAGCCCAGATTTTTGTCTGTTAAGGGATTTTATATGGATTTTGGACAAGCTTTCATTAACATTAGTCTGCTGGGTCACAGCAACTTGGAAGGTTCTTGCTGCAGTGTTATCTGTTAGTGCCCTGGAAAATGGCACCATTCTTTCAAGGGCATTTGGTGGTTTGTAAGTGAACTGAATTTACCTGCTCATGAGTGACCTGACAGAAATCCTGTGCAGGAGCAAATCTCAGAGAACTCAGAACCTGAAGTGGGAGAAACCAGGCCTTTATTATTAGTTGAGTGGATTACAAAAGTATATTTACATTTTTGGTCTAATTAAGTACCTTATTCCATACATCATAGTAGCCTTAAGGATCCATATGCTTTTAAGAATCTGGCATTAGTTCCCTAACCCTGCTTTTTATGCTCTCCTTTGAGCACCACAGAAAGTGAGACCATATAACCCAGTTCTTTGCAATCCTGCAAGGGTTTCTTTGAGGGCTTCAGTTTTTCCTCTTTCAAATCACTCCAGCCTTGGCTCAGATATAAACCAATCAGGTGTGGGCCCTCTGGTTTTGTTTCTTTTAACTGTGACTGGCTTAGGAAATGAGTGAGTATGGCTCAGGAAATCAGTGAAGCCAATATACAAGCTGTGATGTAGCAGACAGATTCCAGTATAAATGTGACTTTTAGAAATATCATCTGTACTCTATCCTCTGTTAGGTAGAGAGGGTTTGTTTGGACTACCCATCCAAACAGAAGAGATAGAAGAAGGTTTCTGTATTATCAGAGGCATTTGGTGTTGAAAGCTGAAAATACGTGAATCATTTCATTATTTTGGAATAAGGCTTAGAGAGTATCGAGCTGTTTGCTGTCCTGAAGATAATTTTGCTTGAAAAGAAAACTGCCTGAGAAGAAAAGCAAGCTATAACAAAAATTTTTAAACACAAACATATCTTTTCTGAAATAAAATGCTGCGTGTAACAGAGCAACAGCTAATGCCAGGATCCCAGCCTTTAACCGGTACTCATGTGGTAAACGTCTGCAAAGGACTCTGCAAATAACACACAGCCACTCTCTGCTGCCTGGAAGGAGCGTGTTCCCAGCCAGAGGAAGCTGTGTCAAGGTAGCAAATTCCCCCTCCACTGAGAGGCTCTCCCAGAGCCAGCACTGCCCAGGACACAGCTCAGGTCCCCTGGCTGGCAGCCAGAGCCCAGCGCCCATCGTGGTTGCCAATTCCTGACATGACGAGCACAACACAGCCCCAGAGATTTTAAGGTAATCTGGCCAGTAGAGCATTGCTCTACCAAAGGGTGGTCTCCGAATCAATCACAGCCTTTGGCAAGTCTGTGGCCTGACAATTGAAACCAGACATGTTTTCAGTTCATTCTTTGGGTTACTACTGTTCGATGGTGATTTACAAGAGAGTGTGAGCTATGGCAATCTCTCACGCAACTTTAGATATTCCCTAAACGAATGCACATTTAGAAATCTCCTTGCTCTAAAACAATGCCTCATAAGAAAAGAATATTTAAAGAGAAACCATCCTTAAAAATAGGCCAAGCTGCCTTTCTTCAGCATTCAAAAATAGAGGCACCACTTTGCAAAACACAGTGCAACTAACTCCAGCAGCAACAAAATCAGAAACTAAAATATGCTCTTCCTGTGTGATACTCTCAAGTTCATGGTTCTGGGGGGCACTCAATTTTCTCATTTCTGTCCTAGTTTGAAACGCTTTCAGAAGGCCTGTTCACAAGACAAACAGCACAGGGTTTCTCAGTAGCAGGCTGTATTGAATTACAAAATAAATAGGAGCAGAAGCAATATCAGCAGTAGCAGAACACTGCTATGTTTAATGTTTCTGTCTCATTTTAGACTAGTTGTGTCTCAGCACTATTTTCAGCATTTACAGTTGTGAAATACTCTGGAGGAAAAAAAAAAGGCATTATAGAGGTGCTGATGAGTTTTAGTCTGTGAGGGTTGCTGCCTGGAGTGTACAACACGAGAGACTTCATACTGGACCTAATTTTATTTCCAGTCTTTCAAGGAAGATTTCTACATGTATTTGCAAATCGAGATTACTGAAAGTGTCAGAAGTGGTTCCAGAAGTTGGCAGTCTCCACAGAACAGCCAAGTAGAAACTCTGTGGGACTGGGTCAGACAGCAAGTTCTATTTTAAATACAGAGCTGGTCTTGCTTCTCCTTTTACCTCTATTTGAGTGTTTTATCAGCCATTTTAGAAAGCAAGAGAGACCGGGAGTTGAATTGAGAGAGAAACTTCTTCTAAAGAAGAATTTACATGTAGAAAAAAAAGAAGATGAAGGATATTCTGAAGTGGTCTAGCAAGGCTTTGCTGTGCTAAAATAAGGAAACAGTGCAGTAGGTGCTCCATATGGAAGTTAAAGTCCATTAATATTTACCACCCAAACAGCTCACACAAACCAATTTAGTCATAAATTAAATTATGTCATGCATGCTTCTGGTGAACAATACTTCCTAAATAGTAGCCATGGTATTAAAGCAAACAGAACTATATTGGGAGAGGAAAACAATGAACTGCAGCACAAGCTTGGGAACAGCAGATCAATTCTCAGATATTAGTTGCAAACCAAACCTTCCTGTGAATATGGGTGGCTTGTGGTGTCTTTAACCACAGCCATCTCCTTCCTTTTTATGCCCCATTATTCAGGCTTGATGGAGGTCTCTACACTAATGGCCACACAGGTTTGGACACGCCCCTGACCATTCCCAGCAGAACTGCTTTTTTATGGCACAATAAAAAAGTTTAGCCAAAATCCTTGCACTAGTCTTTGATCTTAGTAGGTCAGTACTAACCTGTCTGGGCTTGGCATCTCTGCACATTCACACAGGCAGCACTAACACTTTGACAAGTAACCTGTACCAAAAAGAAATCCTGAAAACCAAAGTGAAAGCACCTGTTCTCTTCACTGTACCTTTAATCCAGTATTAACTATAGTCACAGTGAGCCTGCATTGTTAAGAAAAGAAAAAAAAAATTGGGTGGTGTTTTTTGTGGTTTGGTGGTTGTTTTTTTTCAAGGAAAGGTCCATCTGCACAGTTCCATAATTGCTGCAGATTTGGCCTGGAGCAGCCACACACAAGGCCCTGGGCCAGCAGGTGCTGGCTGACAGCTGCCTGCAGGGCACTGGGGACCCTCCAGGTGTTCTGCTGCTGTTCTGCCTCTGTTCTGCTGCTATTTGAAAACCTGAAAGCTTTAGATTAATGCCCTAATGCTGTCACTGCCAACCCTTAAGCTTCTGCCTTGCCTCTGCAAACTAAGACAGACTGAGCCTGTTCAGTGGTACAGGAAATAACCAGAGCATGTGTGTGAAGCTGTCAAAATGAAAAAGGATGTGTACATTGCATTTTGATAACCTCTAAACATTATGTTTTATTAGGGCTTTTAAAGAAGATGTAGGTGAACTTTTGCAGAAGACTTTCAGCCTAGAGAGTTCTCATATAAAGGATAAATTGCTAAAAAACCACAATTCTGTTGTATTTTTGTATTTTGCTTTTGTAGTAAATAATAATGCAGTTTTCTTTTTGTGTAGTTTCCACCTTTAAGTTATACCAGCGTGCAAAGCATGTGTACAGTGAAGCTGCCAGAGTGCTGGAATTTCAGAAGATTTGCTGTGAAGCACCTGCCAACGCACTCCAGCTGCTGGGAGAATTAATGAAGCAGAGCCATATCAGCTGCAGGGAGATGTATGAGTGCAGCTGTCCTGAACTGGACCGCCTGGTCGACATCTGCCTGTAAGTTCTGACCACAAGGAAGAGTAATCGTCTGTGGAGAATACGGTTCGAATTGAGGAGAAAACATGACATCCTTGGCTATTGCAATCTTAAAATGAAAGTATTCTTGTCTCTTCTTACAAAATTAATCTCCTGCAGGGACATTACACGGTCAATTGTTTCCCTGCTGACATCTGTGTAATACTTTCAGATGAAAGCTACGGTTTATGGCTTTATTACAGATTTTGCTTTTGGACTGACTCATCGTCACAAGTGTTATGTTAGACTGTTTGCTACTTTTTTTTAAGTTGCAGAAGAAGTCATAAGTGGTTTTCTTAAAACATCATCTTACTTGTTCTATCTGAACTGTTACTTTTTCTTTGTTTCTTAGAATTATAGTGCCATAGAATGATTTGGGTTGGCAGGGACATTAAAGATCATTGTGTTCCAGCTCCCCTGCCATGGGCAGGGACACCTTGCACCAGACCAGGCTGCTCAGAGCCATCCAAACTGGCCTTGAACACTTCCAGGGATGGGGCATCCACAGTTTCTCTGGGCAACCTATTCCAGTGCCTCACAACTCTCATATGAAAGAATTACTTTCCAATATCTAATCTAAATCTACCTTTTTCATGTTTCTTGACCATTTCAGTACTGCTGCCACAGGAGTTCCAGGGCATAAACAAGCTGTTCTACAATCTTAGGTTGTCTTGAAAGTATAATGAAATATATTGAAATGCCATTTGCATTTTTTCAATTAAGAAATAAGTTGTCCAGAGTATTAGATAGGTTGGACAGCATTTCACTGTTTAAGAAATAAGTGTGCTGTTACAGGGGTTGACACTCTGCTTCTCTCTGTGCTGTCTGAGCTTTCCACATATAATTAAGTCCCCATCTCTGCCCCAGCATTAATCTTTCAGCTGTGATCCCTTCCCAACTCAGTTTGGTCATGAGGAAGTTTCAATTCAAAGCACATTCTCTGAGTGCCATTTTGTCCCTTCTCTTGTCTCACATATAGGTTGTTGTGGTATCAGGCTGTTGTTTCCATGGCTCAGCTACAGGGGACAATGGGACCTGGTACAATCGAGTGTTAATCCACAAAGTGAAAACAAGCACTCAGTACTCACATCCTACACAGCATTTCATCCCTCCCACAGTGTCACCATCAAACAATGGACATATTTCAGTCCTTCCTTATTTCTCTTTTTCTGGTATATTTAATCACAGAACAGACACCTGATGCTACTTTTCATCTAAATCCAGTGCCTATAGAAGGAATTTAGTGGTTGGTGACCATTTTAACAATGGCTGGGGGAAATAAACAGTTGCCCAGCTGGGCTGTCCTACCTCTACTCCATCCCTGTCTCTGCCTCAGCCACCCTGTCCCTCCTGCTCCCCACAGTCCCACAACGGCTCCGTGGTGATGCCACCCTCCTAACTTGTGCCCCTAATTGTTCCTTCTTCTCCTTGGAGAAGGGTGTGCTTAGTTTGGGAAACTGCCCTAAGCCAGAACATTACTGGCCTGCTAGAAGGGAAATGTGGGGTGACACAAAGGTGTGCAGGCCTGGGTCAAGAAATGTTGTTTCACTGTCTTTTAGAAGCAGATATTCCATACTCTCCCTACGTCTTTTCAGTCTTGAAGTTTCAATTTGAAGTTTAAAAAATTTAATAATTAATACCTTACCACCTTTAGCAGCTTTTTTTTTTTTTAATTAACTGAGAAATTAGTCTGTCTTAGAATGAAAATACGAATTTTCCAAGCATGCAATTTACCATGCGCACTTTCTTCTGCACTCATGGATTTTTTAAGTTGCAGTACCCATTTATCAGGTTTGTAAATCAGTAGAGTACAAAACGTGATTATTTAGGTGGGTCTGATTTCTTTTGCAGACAAGATGGAATGGCCTCTGAGGCAAAAAGCTACAAAGCTCAAAACTGAACAGAAGATTTCTGGACATTGACAGATTCTTTTGCATGTGGCATACACGTGCACTTTTTTGCTAAAACACAAAGCAGCCTGATAGCCACTGGACAGACTGACAGCAACTGAGCAGAACAAGTTTTGATTCTTCTCTTGGGACCCAGTCCAGGGTGTAACTCTGAGGTTGTGTTCAGTTTATTGTATCACATAGTGACCACATCATACAATAAGCTGTGACAGTCACTCAGCAGGGCAGTTCCACCAGAGTTATCCCAGCTGCTCAAAGGGAACTGCTGATCTGAGTGTGAGAGGGGAGAACCATCTCCAGGGTCAGCTGAAGACAGAGACTGAGCTCTACTGATTTATCAAAGATCTTGGGCAATGAAGTCTTGATCCCGTGCAAGGCATTGGCACTGCCTCTTCTGAGGCACCACTGGCAGGGCAGGAGCTTTATATTGACATCTGCATTGCTTTGTACTGCCCAGAGCTGGTCAGTGCCATCCAATGAATGCACTTGGCAGACCTGAGGAACTCATTCTGACAGGGCCTGTTCTCAGAAAAGCTGGGAGGAAACTGTCCTGCCCTGGGCAGGGGAATACAAGCAGGTGTATGCTTAGGAATACAAGCCTAGCCAGATGTGCTCTGCAGTGTGGAGTTATCTGTGCCACGTTCCAGTGAACACAGAGTTACCTGTGCCACATTCCAGTAAAGCAGCAAGCATGGCAGTGACAGCCTCTGGCAGCAGGAAGCTCAGCAGGGGAATGGAAATTGTGTTCCCCATTTGTGCTGAGCTCTGTGCTTCCATGGTGACACAGCTCCAGCCAGCTCAGGCAGGGGGACACTGGCTGGCAGGCAGGAGCACAGCCACAGCACCAAAAGGAAAGCAGCAGTTAGGATTTTTTCTAAATTAAATTAAAATTCATCGGAGCATTTCAGTTCCAGGGAGCAAAATATAAAATATAAAGGAAAAAAGTGATGTGTGTGCCCATGTTACATCAGATTTCTGATCTACCAGCAGAAGAGCCCACAGTATATGATGGGCAGAGCTAAGTACCACAGTGGAGTGTCATTCACATGGAATGATTTCAAATTTATGTATTAAAATTATTTCATCTGTTTTTTTTTAAATCATATTGTTTGCACAGAAAAAAGTAAATTGTTTTTTCATTATTCTTTACAGTCTTGTCCCATGAAGAATATTTCCTAAGAAATGCATCTTTCTTCTCTAGAAGTTTAATATTAAATCTTTTTCTAATTCAGTAATTAGATTTCTAAAAGTGTATAGCTCCTCTAGATGAATGCAGCTTAAGCCAGCATCTAATTTTTGGAAAAAAAGTGTTAACTTTTCTTAAGTTGTACATTAAAAAACCTAAAGAACATAAAATCACTAGTCACTCCAGGAAGACTTGGCTGATGTGATTATAGAAATGGTCAGGAACTACATAAATTACATTCTTTACTCACGATGATATACAGCCGCCCTGTAACTTTCAAAAGCTTTTCCAAAAATACATTCCACAGAATTGCCTGAGTCTACTGCTGCTCTCTCCTTACAAGGTTTAAACTGTGAAGAATAATCTGCATATCCAGATGTTTTCTCTTTTGCCTAGATCTTTATGCTTTACTGTATAACCACTGCCAAGAAAGAAAGGGATCCATACTTGCTGTGGTTTGTAGTGCTGAAAACAGTAACCACGAGTTGGTCAGTTGTTTTTTTCATTTTGCAAAGATTGAAGACTTGTGCTTTCTCTAACCCTCCTCATGCTCTTAGTAGCTGGTTTACCTGTTAGTCTTCTAAAGCAGGTAACACAGCAGATTTACTAAACAATTAAGAGGAAGAAAATAGGATGTGAGCGCCTGAGTAAGTTAGGTACTGTTGAAAATCTCTCAGTCCTTAGTGTTGCACATAACTTACTTTCATTTTCTTATTCTCCATCTTTTGGTGCTATAAATCCTGGTAATTTTTGTGTTCCCAGCCATGCCTCTTACATGACAGACAGATGAATCCTCTCTGACCACTTTAAAAAGATACAGATTGTACCTTGCATCCAGCTCATTACAGTAGCCAGCACAATTCTGCATTTTATCAAGACTCTTACCATTTCCACTGATGATTTTCTTAAAGCTGCAGAGCCTGCAATCATGGCATAATTTGAAATTTCAGCAAAGCCAGAAACAGTTAAAGATGCTATTCAATGCAAGCTAAATTACAAAGCTGAATAAGCACAATCCTCCCCATTTATATATTTAAATATTACCATGTTAACTCCATGCTTTCTGAAAAGCAACTTCATAATTTTAAGTATTTCAAATTAACAATATTGCTCTGGGGTTTTTTTACGTCTTAAAAGCACAGTTATTTTTAAAATGGACTACTACCATGTCTTGCCTACTGTTTTCATATACCAAACTATGAGATTTCCATTTTTACTCCCTCCTTTTATTCTTTTATTCTTCTTTCCTTTGCTGCACTGTTCATATTTTTACTCATTTACACCCCCATAAGCTAATTCTCTTAGTGTCCAGTGAAGGCTGGAACAAGATCCATAAACATGTGCAGAAGCAAAGGCCAGAACCTGGGGCTGGGAGCTGAGTGCCCCAGCCCTGGACTCCAGACACATGATCCTGCTCCCTGCCTTCCCTGGCCCCGCGCTGCAGCACAGCCCAGCAGCACGCGGGGCCTTCCCACACATGAAATCCACACCTCCCACGGCGTGGGTCAGCTCCCCATCCACAAGATTGTCTGCTCAGACTCCTCTCCAAAAAGATCCCAGTGCACAAGAGGAGTGTCTGGCCAGGAATCCCACTTTACCAGAGGGGTCCAGCTTAGTACTGAACTGATTAAAACTTTAATGAGGCCGTTTCAGACCTGTTCCAAAAACAACTTCCTTGTGTTTGACCTAGGAACCTCCCAGGCACCACATCTCCTGCAGACACAGAATTAGGTGCTCCTTCCTGGATCCATGTAGTACCAGGTACCTGGTTTTCAGATGGTGCATCAGTGCCCATCAGTTCCTCAGCAGCCCCAGGTGGCTGCTGCCACCACATTTGACACTGTTAAGCCACAGTATTTTGAAACACAGTGACTTCAGCTCTGCAACAGGCATATTTTCTGTCTACTTTATGCTTTATTTCAACTAAGTATTCGAAAATGACTCAGTAAAAATGAGGCATGAGCATGACCACAGAGAATTATGAAATCAATAAAAGGTTCAGAACAATTCTGAAGGGATTTCGGTTGCCTACCAAAATAAAAGCCAGACACCATCTGAAATACGAAGTTCTGTCTGAGGTAACAGACAAAATGAGTACAGACAGTTCATTTAACAGAGTCTGAAAAGTGGATTGGGCCTTATAAAGTCAATGGGAATATCCTTATTGATTGCAACTGATACTGGATTGGATCCTGCTCATTTTAGGAGGTTGCTCCATGGACTAGAAACTACCAAAATTGCATCAGAGAGTGAGTGGCTTACAGGAATAACAATAAGTAAAATAAAACATCAACAGGAAATGCAGAATGAACATAAAATCGAGTCAATATGAAGGGTGGCACCACACAAGACACACTGAAGAAAGTGTTTCTGTTCAAGAAGAGATGTGTGTTTAGAATCAAACACATATGCAAGTACTTGCTTGAAATATGACCTAAACCTCTACTAACCCAGCACTACACCAGATTCATTTAACATAAAATGCACACATGAAGAATTACAACAGCCCACTCCAAATGAGCTGTCATTTTCCAATGCTATTCACATGATGTTGTCTCTCCCTCTAACATATTCTAGGGCTGGTGAATCTCTCTGTGCATGGCTAGTGGAAACACATCAAAAGTATTTGTTTGTAAGTCAGATTAGATCTCCCACAAGAATAATATTTCAGATGAGTTTTCTAAATCCGACTCGTTCTGTTCTCACTAGGTTAGAAAAGTCCCAGAGTAACTTATTACATGGTCTTTTCCTACTTTTTCCAAGTAGAGATCAGGAACACAGGTAAGCAAACTATTGAAAACAATTCTAAATTCTAATGAGATGGCATCTGAGTCTTGCTGTGTAACAGCATGGGATTTGCTCTAGGACATTTCTAGCAGGCCAGTATCTTGAGGCTGGGAATGGTTTATATTTTGCATGTCATTTATTTGTCATTGTTCTTTCTGTTCACGCTCCTTATTAAAAGCATTTTTTTCTTTTGGGACTACATTCATACTTTACCTCTACTGTCAGTCTTAAGTTCATGAGGTTCCTCTAAAGAGAGATACCCAACTATGTCCATTCAGTATAAACAGAAGTTATGTGAGTTTATTTATACAGAGTGCAGTGACTCTATGACTTTTTGAGAGTCTCTGAACTCTCCTTTTCTTGACTGGCACGCTCAGCAGTCCTGCAGAAGCCTGTGAATCTTCAGCATGGTTTAGATCTGTCCTGGAAGAATAGAGCTATTTGTCTTTGCCACATTAGAAAATGGCTTGCATGCCTACATCCTGTGCAATTAGTTTATGAACCCTCTTTTGTTATTTTTGTCATGTATTTCTGTTTTCACTTCTGATGTCTTATGAATCTTGCTAACACAATTCCTTTCTTCTCCTGCTTTCTTCATCTCAGCTGTGCTGTGATCCTAAAAACAGCTGATACTGAAGCTTTAGAAAACAGGGGGACTTTTGGAATTGACAAAAATTACTATATTGCAGTTTAAGGCATCAGCACTTTTCTTTGGTCCAAAAGGGTAACTGCAAATTCCTGTAGTGTTACATACAAGCAAGTGAACATCAGAAAAGCTTGATGACGTGGGAATACTCAAAACACATCTGAGTTTTCTATAAAAATTTTATATATGACAGAGTATCTCTTTTTGGTTTATTTTACATTATTTTTTCCCCTGTTATTTTCTTTTAGGCAATTTGGGGCCATTGGGTCACGTCTGACTGGAGCTGGATGGGGTGGCTGCACTGTGTCAATGGTGCCTACTGACAAGCTGAACGCTTTCCTAAAAAATGTAAAAAAAGCTTATTACCAAACGGATGGCCAAAGGTTAGCAGTGGATAATAACAGTCTGTTTGCTACCAAACCTGGAAGAGGAGCTTTGGTTTTTGTTGAGGCCTAAAGAACATAAAAATTTTAAAGAAACTATGCAGGGCATGTAGAACTGGCAGTACTTCCCGTGCCACAGTACATGAATGCTTTTTTTGGTTTGTATTGTAATGAGCAGTTGCTATTATCAAAATGTATTTCTGAAGAAGCAATTAAAAGAAAGCACTTTGATTATAAAAGTCTTTTTTTCCCCATATTAAATACACCTTTCAGTATAAATACTGATTTACTAAAACCTACTGACAGGGAAAACTGCAATTGAAATAAAGGTGATGATTTGTTACAGTGTCTCTCTCTTCCCTTTACTGTATTAAAAGAAAGATGAGGTGTGCAATGAGCTGCCTCAGCAGAGGGAGGGCACCTTGCAGTGTTTGCAGGGCTGTTCAGTGCTTTTCCTCTTCGGGTCCTGGACATTGTTTTGTTTGGAGTGTTCTGTGAAAAAGGAAGATTAAACTGAAGCATTCAAAAACTTGCTAGACATTTGAAGTTTTCTATTCTCCACAAGTAGGTTAATTACTGTTGTAATTAATTATAATATCGGAGGAGCACCTGCAGGCCAAGTAAAGCATTAGGAATACATTATGTTAAGTAGGACAACTTTTCTCCGAGTGATATTTCTTAGGTATCTTTGTGGAGGTATGAAAGTTTCAACAAAAATGAATGCTGTTCATGAGCTGTATGATGTGACAACTTAAGTGAATGAGCAAATAATGAAGTAAATGGATTTTGAGTTATCCAAACACCATACTCTCATACTTGAGTCCCAGCTGTGCATGTACATCACAGAACATTTGCATTTTATGCAAAACTATTATAAAGGACTAAATATGATCTGCTGACCATGTAAAAGAACAATTAAAATGTAGAAGAAATAATTAATGACTTTACTGAGCTGTACTAAGCAAAAGTAAGTTCTAAGTAGGACCAAGGGAAAATGTCATTGACATTACTGACAAATTCTGACCTTGCTACCATGTCTGCTCCTGCCATCTCCTTTAACTGCTCTGGCAGTACAGACCTACAGTTCATAACCTGCCTCCTCAGCAGGAGAAATAGTTGTGATTGCAGAAAGGGGACTGTACATCAGGATCCCCCAAAGATGTCCTAACCCTGCTCCCAAAGGGAAAGTCAGGCTCCTGTGGCCTCTCTCTTGCACAAACTTCCACTTCTCTGCTCTCTCCAAAGAAAACCAAAGAGAAGATTTGGTTGTGTCACAGCCCTTGCAGCCATAAAAGACACAGCAAGAGTTGGCCCTGGGCACGTTTTTGTGATGCTAAGCACAAGTTAATGTCCAGAAGTCTGCATCAAATTAGAGATCTCTCAGATTTTCTGTACATTACTCCTGCTAAACCAGGCCAAACCCAAATTCTCAGAAGCTCCTAATTCTGTGAGAAGACTCTGCCAAACCTGAGCACAGCAGATGAACAACAGCCAATGCAAACTACCAGATCTTTTCAGGAACCTCAGAGGGGAATGTCATAGCAGTAATATCAGTAGAGAAGATCTCTTACTTCTGACAACCAGGAAAAGTGGAACAGAGTGCTTGGGTCAAGTAAATCAAACACTCAAGAGGAAAAGGATGGGCTCTAGGCACAAGGGGGAGATGAAAAGACAGTTTGGAGGGAGGACAGTTACAAGGATGCATGTGAGAAGAGGAAAGCAAGGGCGAGGGAAAAGAGTTCTGAACAATTTGCAGAATTACAGAATGGGCTAATCTTACAACATTCCCTATTGCCATCTTTGAAACTTAATATCTTGTAACCCATTTCTAATGTAGTAGATATACTGTGCATTCAAATAAACCTGTAATTATAGGACCCCAAAAAGTAAAAAAATCAGGTAAGTATCTTCAATAATATGTAAGATAACCACAGATATTTTTAAGAAAATATTTCTATTGCTTTGTTACCAACTTCCTAATGAAATACAATCCGGAGCTTACTCCAGTGAATTCCAATTTATTAGCCTGTCATAAAAATGGAGTAGAATACAGTAAATACTAGGCCTTTCATTAAGATATTTGCATAGAACTTTAGTTCAGCTGGATTAATGGAAACAGTAATCAGCATATGAGCAGAATAAAAATATATTATGGGGTTTTTTCCTTCTTTTTTAAGTCGAGCATGACACACATGGTCATAGAATCTTCCCCACAACACACAGGCTGCAGTAAATTTAAAAAATCTTCTGACAATGAATCTTATAAATTATATTCTCATAAACAAAGAAAAGGAAACCAAATATAAAAGAAAACAGCACAAAAGAATAAAACCAAAAGTTCTAAACTTCTGATTAATCTCTTTCCCAGTAAAATTTAGACCTAACTTCCATGGAAAAACCTACAGAATTCAAACTATTTACATAAAAAGGGCACTCAGGCATTTTTATTTTCTGACTATATATAGGAAGTAAATATTTCTTTTTAAACAGACAAAAAATATGTTTTGGGGGGTTTTTTTGCTTGTTTTTTAAACCTTTAAAGACATGTTTCTACATAATAGTAAAACTCCCCAATGATCAGATCATGAGAATGATAAGGGGCAAAGATATTAGAAGTATCTCTAACAATAAAGGAAGAAAATTTTGATGAAAATGTCTAAGTCTAGAGCAGAAGCCCACGAGCATATTGCCTAAGCAAGACTTTCCAGGTCTGTATTTTTAGTAGCTTTTCCTGACTACCTTTTAAAAATCTCTTCTATAGCTAGAGTAACGCTGATTGGTAAATCAGATCACAGAATTGTTTAGGCTGGAAAAGACCTCTAAGACCATCAAGTCCAACCACTGAGCCAGCACTGAGAAGTGCACCACAAACCCAAGTGCCACATCTACACATCTTTTAAATCCCTCCAGGGATCACCACCACTGCCCTGGGCAGGCTGTTCCAGTGCTTTACAATCCTTGCCATGAGGAACTTTTTCTGAATATCCAGTCTAAACCCCCTCTGGTGAAACTGCTGATCAATGATGGAATGGCTCAGTGAGCACTTCCGCCAGGTCTCTTGGTTCTCTTGAGTGGATCCATCCGGCCCCAGACACTTGTGAGTGTTGAAGTCAAGTGGCAGTGAAATCACTGACAATCTCCCCTTGGATTACAGGTGTTTCATTCTGATCCCTGGCCCTCTCCTCCAGCTCAGGGGGTTTGGTACCCAGAGAACAACTGCTCTTACTATTAATGCCTTCTCTGCCTCAGTCTTTAAGTGCCTCTGGCATTTCCTCATCCTTTGTCTCTATGTCCCTGTACCCAATAAAGGTTAGCACAAGCTATGATTATCCAGGGAGTGTAATTTTATCTTAAGGCCTGACTGTAATTCATTCAATCAGGAGTTTAATCTTAGCGTGCAGTAAATGGGCTCTAAACATTTCCAAAAAGGATCTGGAATGGAGACACTGTTAGACATCCGGGTGCAGCATCATTGCCTGGTGCCATATTAATACCCTGTATTAGGGTAATCCCACTGACATGTATGTCTTCATCACTGCATTTGCTGACTGTGTCTCTTACACAGGAACACGCTCATCCTCTGAAATAGCACGAGAGCAATTTTACCATTCACTCAATGGGAGGGGATCACAACAGTGCATTTGATGTTTGCTGTCTTGGACACAGCACACACACAGACATATGGCAACCTAATATATAATAATTACTTACATAACATTTTCGGGAATATTGGTTTCTAGTTAATATGATCTGAATGCCAACTTTTATTTTAGCAACTGCTGAGTACTTATTTAGTATAATCCTTCTGAAATTCCTCTCCGAGTCCATGTGTCTCTTTAATAACATCTTGATATGTTGGAGCAACTGTTTCACTACAGCTTCAGTCAAGTGAAAGATTTGTATTTTCAGCTAACTACGAAGCTTATTTGTGTGCTAAATCCCAACTAGATCTAGTTAAAGATACACAACATTCACAAGAGTATCCTGTTCTAAAAAAAGATGCCTTGCAAATTATAGCTGTTCTGGGCAGGACTGACATAGTGCTCCCCGATTCTTGTCATTATAAGGTTCATCAACATAAAATGACCTCTCTAAAAGAACTTATACTAAAAAGTACCAGTAGCATGAAAACTGGACTGGTAAGACAATGTCATGAAACCTGTGCTGTGAATCATGCAGCACATTGAATTGAGATTGAGGACTAGGTATTGATAAGAGACTAGTTTACAATGCAGAAAGGACTACAGTGGGGAATGTAAAACTAACTGCAAATTGCTCGCTGTGATACAGCCCTGTTTGACAGATTTTCCCAGTGCACAGAGAACTGGCAGAGGAAGCACTGCCAAGCAATGCTGCCGACACATCTGTCCTCTCTCAGCTCTGCAGTTCAGCCAGTTCTTTCATCAAATGCTCTTCTGAGATTCAATATCTCATAAAATAGAGACAAGAGATTAATTCTGGTACTGATCTTATCTCTCATACTCTGCCCTGTGTTTTTGGACTTGTGTCACAAGTAATTGAGATTCTCTTAGACACGACAGACCACAGCCTCCCGTGACAGCTCTGGGTTCACAGAGACAGCTGTCACTGTGCCCAGGGCGGGCAGTGCCCAGCCAGTGCCCCGGACTGCAGTGCTGCCCTGCCTTGCACGGCTGGAGCTGCTACACTGCAGCCACTGCTCCTTCAGCACGTGTTTTTCCTCTGGTCACCTACGACTGTTTGACCAGTCAAACCTGTGTGTGAATGTTTTCTGGAGCTCCTGAGGCCTCTGCAGGTTTGGTCACTGATTTCAGCATAAGGAGGATTTACCCATCCCATACTCCCTGCAAACAGCTCAAGCAATACAATAACAGTGAGAGTTTGCACATAGAGCTAATGTGCCCAAATCTCACGAGTAATTTAAGGCACTCAGACCAAATTCATCATAGGTGTCAGACCTAACAATGGAAAAACTGTAGACAAGTAAAAAATGTTTAAGCTTCAGATGAGAAGACATTAAGGAGCTTTCAGAATTAATTGATCACTAAAATGCTTGAGATTGATTTCCAATAGCAATGCTTCCTCTACAAGCAACAAACTGAGGAAGATTCATACAAAAGCACTGGCTATACTTATTGGATTTTAAGTCTAATACATTTTGAGAACTGCTATCATCTTCTAAACATTTTTTTTTTGTTGGCCAAAATTACACATTAATATTAAAAGAAAAAATTCTCTTCCCACTGAAGCACAACTTTCTGCTCTTGGCACATGAGAATCAAATAAATCAGTAAAGATTAGATGTACTTCAGATTGAAACACAACTAGTGCCCAAGCAGCTGTCTTCTTTCCAGCCAAGCTGTG